ATACAAGATACTCATTGAATGATAAGAAAGTAGTCTTTACTACGGATATTCAAATTTGTACATTTTATTCTCTTTTATATCAAATAGACCAAACAAAATAATTGAGGTCTCATTCGTATTATTTATTATGTTATTGTGGATGGGCTAAGGTTAAGAGATTCTCAAATTGGAAAGATACTTATTTTATATACCTCAAGCCAATAGGATGAACTAAACGAGTTCCTATCTTGATGGGATGAGGAAAATAATTGAATTTTCTAACCCCTTCGACATCTCTTCTAGGAAGATCTCTTTATTTCTAGTTCTAGCATTTTTTTCTTTTACATAAAAATTTTTTTAGAAAAAAAAATTAATTTCAAGGTAACTATCAATAATTAATAAAATTTATTATTACTTTTGATGAATAATGAAGAATTGTTTTTAAGATCAAAGTACAAAGTTCTTGCAATGTACCACACATAATCTCCTAATTACATTTATATGCACGTGTTGTGCATAATTTCACACATTTCCAGCAAATGGTTGTAATGAATACCAGAAAGTAAGATTTACTTAAAAGGACAACAGTTGTCCTAATTAACATTAGAAATTTATTGAGAGCAGAAAACCTTAATCATTTATCTAACAATTTTGGTCTCAGCTCAAAGCCTTGCACAACAAGGCCAGACTTCCAATTCAAAAGTTCCGTTTCACTCACTCGCATTTCAATGATACCATCATCTGGGTCATTGAAGAACTCACCAATCTCAACCTCCTTCCACTGATCACCTCTCTCTAATGGAAGATGCGCAAGTTGACCGATATATCTTGATGTTGGCTTCAAATAAGCAACATTACCTTCAATAGTTGTCGGCTCTTCCCCTTGAGATCCTTTCTTAGAAAGCGTCAAAGAGACCTTCACTGGATATTCCAGTCCATGAGAACTGTCAGCAATTGTGTATACAAGACAAGCTGTGTAACTTGTATTTGGAGATAGCAGTCGCTTCTCTATCCTCGTGCGAATATCAAGCCAACATACAGCTCGAAGACCAGCTACTTTATTGAACCTTCAATACCAGTACCAAACTTACATGTCAGAAAAAAATTTCTGAACTTACTTGAATGACAAAATGTTCTAGGAAATTTTTTACTATTTGATTAAAAACAGATAGATTATAGAATAGTCGTTGAGTTTGTTACTACTAATTTAAAAAAAAATTACAATTATGTTTCTAACGAATTTTACAATCTAATCCGATGAACTAATAATTCGCATAAAATTGATGTTTTTTTTAAAGGACACAAAAAAAATTATGTAAAAAGTAATCACAAAAATCTTTTAGAAAAATAACAGAAAGTATGAATCAAATTTGGAAATTATTTGGTTAGTCATGTTCTTGCCATGGTAGCTTCCTTCCCTCTCTATAGTTTTGATCAAGATTTTTCTATTTGTTCAAAATGTCATGTGATTTATTTTTAAATATTTTTTATAAACAGATATATTTGTAATTTTTAACAGTTTATATCTCATTTGACTGAATTATTATATATTTTTTCAAAATATAATGATTATAGTGTAATTTTTTAAGTTATTGGATACACCTACAATTATACTTGGATTCAAAATATTAAGATAGAAGAAAAAGAGAGAGAGAGACCTGGAGATGGGTAGAGAAGGTGACTTTGATGGGGATATCCATTCCCAAAACTGGGGATTGTTCGCCCATGAAATAGTCGACTCTCTGGCTCCAATCATGAAACGTTTCTTCCCACTCACTCTCTCCAGTTCAAAGCTCTGTTTTAAACAATCAAAGCTTTAGAAATACAATATATCACACCACACCAAACAGAGGTAATTTCTGTAATAAGATTTCAAAATAACAAAAACCATATATATATTAAGTCATATTTTTATTAATAAAACCAGATCATCTGAATTTATCAATAAAATTAATTAAAACGTTTTATTACCAATCCGATCAGGCTCCAATCAGAAAAGTTAAGTTTCAAACAACTTAGCCAGATTCATTCCCAACACTTCATTATTGGCTAAATCAATCTAATATTTTGTGATTCAACACCCTCAAGACTGGTGATCATGCTTTTATATTAGATTAATATGTTTTATGACTTGGTCCAGATTATATAAATGTGATTTTAAAATTTTATGTTAAATTGAAGTTCGTTTATATTATTTTAATTATTTTTATATTTTACTATAAGAAATTAAAAAACAGCCTACTGACAGCTGTTAAAGTTTGAAATTAACATAAAATTTTTATATATATATATAAAATTATATTATTTTTCTAATTATAGGACATACAAATTCAATATCTGAATTTTAATATTATTAAGAAATTTTATAATATTTAGGCCATGGCAGGTCGGCTTTTTAAAAAATAATGTCTTATTCAAATTTTTTATAGGTTAAACAAATAGCAAATCCGTGTAATGAATAAATCAACTTTAAAAGGCATTAAAAATATATCTAAAAACATGTGGTATAAATAAATAATTATTATAATTTTCAATTTATTACTTTAAAGAGAAAATAATAGACCCGAAAATTGAATGAAAATATATAAATATACGTGTAAGGCCGTAGATTAACGGACGGGAGACGCAGACTTGTAAGGAGCCTATGGACGATTCTCGTTTCTGCTAAAGTACTGCAGAAAAGGTTAAACTCTCAGATAAATCAAGAATATCAAGGAGTCAAGAGACGTAACACCAAACACTTTCACGTGTAAATCAGGGCACCGATTTTCTTTTTTTTATTTTATCTTCTTTCTTGAGGAGGAGGTTTCTTGATTGTTCATGAATCAAAAAACGACAAATTCAAAAGAAGCAAATCCAAAACGTCAAGTCATTCACAGAAACATTAATTGAATATCAATTAGGGGATTAACGACTTACCCTGGCACCTCCATCGACGAGCAGTGGAGATTCGCAAAGACGAAAATAGAGGTCCTTCTTGGAAGAGAAAATCACCGGAGAAACTGATCTGGAAATGATATCCTCGTAATCGGACGGCAAAAATCGAATCCAGACCGCGTCTGATTTCGCAGCGGATCGAAACTCGGGACTAACCAAAGACAACCGACATGCGTCCTGAGGCGATGTGAGCGAAAGCACAAGGGATATGCAATCCTCCGGTAGTAACGATAAAGTCGGCGCCGGCATCGCCAGGCTGCTGCAAGCCTGTTCTGTTTCTATCATTTTTCACGATTACTTGTTCAATTGGTAGGTGCCAACTGTAGCTCCGCAAAATATAGTCCTAGGTCGCTCTCTTCCCGCAACTTATAGCCTTGGATTTTATTTAATTATTTTAGCATTGGCGGTAAAAGAATATTTGTTTTCTTTTTTTATTTTTTAAAAGACTAAAAATACATTTTTAACTCCTATACTAATTATTTTTAATTTAATTTAACTCTTATTTTGACATTTTATCAAATTTATCCTTTTACTTTCAAAAAATATTTAAATTTTTTTTATATATGTTAATAAATACTAATATCATTAACGACTGTATTAAATATCATCAATTTAAATAAGTGGTTATCAATATAGCAATTATGTAGTTGTCATTCTAATAATTTTTTTAAAAAATATATCATTAAATTCATATATGTTCCATAATCTTTTGAGTTTTTTATTTTTTTTTATCTATACTCATCTTATTATTTATTAATTTGTTATTGATGTTATCATCACTTTGTTCTCATAATTGTTATTTTGTTATTTTCTTCATCACTACTACTATTTTTGTCGTCGTCTCCTATTTTACAATTCTTATGACCTCTATCTCATCACTTCCACAATTACTATATTATTGTTGTCAACAATAATGACGTTAATACCATTGTAATGCTACCATCACTAACACGTCCATTTGATATTATTAATGTTATAACCATTCTACTATCGTCTCACTCTATTATTGTAACTTATACTTACTGTTATTCTTATTATTATTAATTATTGTTACTATTATTTCTTCTGTCATGTTAATTATATTATTATTTTTATCATTATTATTACTATTATTGTCACTTTTATTTTTGTAGCATTTATTAGTATTACTCTAATTTTATCAATATTAATAATATTAAGTTAAGAAAATAATAATATATATTTTCTGCTATATTATTCATTTATAATCTAATTATCTTAAAAACATAACAAAATACAATTAATAACTTATAATACTAAGTAAATTATCATACATAGATATTTTACGTAGCTTTCAATTTTTAATAAATACTAGTGGAATTAGAATCAAATATCACAATGAAAAACCCATTTAGTATGAAATCAGATTTTCATCAATTCAAATTCGTCCCAATTATTTAGTTTTCTATATTTAACCAACTCGACTTGCTCAAAATTAAAAAAATATATCAATATCATAAATAATAAATATATTATATTATACTATTTTTTAAATATATATCAAGTGAAGTTTGAGCGTCATTAAACTTGAACCGGATCCAAATCTGGTATAGAATGTACGAATTGACTTCGAACCTAGACATAAATTTTGAAGTAAAAAATCTCCATAGAACAAGAAGGAAACTGGTTCTTATAATTAAGTCGCAGAAGGAATTGTGTTATCCGCGTTGGTTAATTGTGACCAGAAATCGCTACTATGGATTCAGCCCACATGCCCTAGAGGCCCAAGAGCTGAATGAAGCTCTCTCTCGAAATTTCGTAATTTCTGGCGCCAAAAAGCAAAACCAGAAGAACCATGTAGAGGGAGAAAGGGGTGGGAAAGAAGGAAAATACAAAATAAAGAAATGACTTCGGGGCAGACTCCATTTAGGGTTTTTGGTCAACGCTCCATTGCTCCATCGTTCCTCCTTCGAGCTTCAAATCCGTAAGGAGAAAACCAAATTCTCGTTTTTTTTCTTAATTATTGGCCTCTTTTTCCCTGGAAATAAAGATTGGTTGATAATTTAATATGTGTTAATGGAGTCAGTTGCAAGGTTTCTAAAGACGATGTGCAAAACAACGAGTCGAAGAAGGATTGTCGTGTTTCGCTGTCGGATTTCCTTAACCGGAAGCTGAATAGAAATTCCGTCCCGCCAAAATTTCAGACTGTTCAGGTTTTGTTCCTTACCCTCTCTTTGGTTACCGAGAGAGTACTAAGAAACAACAAAGGAGGAAAGAAAATGAGAACTGGCTATCTTGTTTTTCCGTTTAAAGACAGAGAACTTGAAAATTGTTTTGGAAACTCAATTTTAGTCGATGTAATCAATGATTGTATTAGGTGGAGTTTATGACATAGTCTTACGGTGATGAATTCATGGGTAGTTATAATTTGAAAATGCAATTGAATTGATGTCCTCCATTTCTCGCTAAGCTGAATAAGAAAAATTCCGTTTCTCTTTTTCCTCTCCTTTTATACTAGAACTGAAGTCCGACAGAATTGTGCCATAAGCTTTACCTTAATGGAGGTTTTACATTTCGGGATTGCAGTTCTGGGAAATGAAATATCTATTATTCAAAATCTCGAATTTTTTTTTCTCTCTCATATTTTCCCAGTTTTCTAATGTATTTTGTCCTTTTATTGTGTATCTGTCTAAATTAATTTAAAAAAAAAACATTTAAATATAAATCAGGGTTTTAAGTGGAGGCCGTTTAATTCTTTGGTAGGAAAAGTCCAGGCCTTTTTCTTCCTTGCTTAGCCCCAGGGAAGTAATTGGATCCACTGATGGGCGGATGGAAGACAAGCAAAGAAGAGAAGAAGAGAAAATTGGGATTCTTGACAAAGTGGCCTTTGAACAGTTCAAGCAAGGTGGTGCAGATAAAGTAGATAGTGTAGTTCCATGTAGTGCTACTGAAACAGAAAACGCTAACGTGGAATCAAGGAAAAGGAAGAACCTATTTGAAGGTATGCATTTCAATAAGACATGTATGAACTTTATTTTGCTTGGAATCATTGAAGATGTGTGAAGACTGCCGAAACGAACAGATACTTAACTATGATAGGTGGATAAGCTAAGCTAAAGTCAGCCAAGTCTATAATTACACAGGAAATTTTCATAACAAATTTCTAATTTGAGTGCTTTACTTTAAGTATACTATAAATCCAAAACTGACATGGATGTGTATGCAAGAAATTTTTATAATTGAGAACCCTGCAGCAAAGAAGGCCAGAATCATAGTGCATATGATCATTAGGCCTACCGATGGAGAGAACATAAGCTGATAGATCTAAAAGAGAAATGATAGCTTTACGCCTAAGATATCTTGCACAAAAAGTGTGCAATACTTGGATAATTATAGAAAGGATATGAGCTAGTGGTTAATTGTCACATTTTTTATTGCAACAAATGTAATTTGGTAAGTTCGTACTATTGTAATATCAGTGGCTTGACTTCCGTGTTTCTGTCTTCTCTCTATGCGAGTCGATTTTGACTGAACACTTGTTGATTTCTAGCTATGGAAGGAAAGGATACAACTCGAAAGCCTATTCTAGTTCTGGGACAAGGAGATCATCCAAAACCAAAGCAAAAAGGATTGGTGGCGAGTTACAACAGCAGAAAGAAACCTAAGCATCCCTACAACCACTGTTTGTCAATGATTTTTATAGGAATCAACTGTCTAGCATTTTTTTCCTTCTCAAAATTTTTCTGTAATTTTCTGGATTGCTAATGGGATCTACTGGTTCTTATTCTATGCTGACAGATGGAAGTGGTTGGGGGTGGTGGAACTCTGACATGGAGGGGGTCGACAGTGAAGAAGTTGGTTTCAGTGAAGTATGGGAAGGGGTTGGTTCTACCACATTTGGAGGAAATATCGATTGGCACTGATTGATTTCTCATTCAATGTATGCCATTTAGTGGAAACCCTTTTGTTTACTTGGTATGATGCTCTACAGAACACCTATCTTTAGAACTAGCAAAAGTTCTTGTGGAATTGAAGTGGTAGAAGAAAATGTTAAATGCATCATGTTACCTGCTTTCCTTGTTGCCTACAAACATGAACCTCAAATTTTCTGGATGATTTCTGTAAGAAACTTCAGAAGTTAGAAGATATTGTTGGCAATAGTGATAAAGTATTGTTATCTTAAAGGTCTTTATGAGCAGGCTTCTCCTCAAATTTGTCCCTTCAGCACAGGTTCTCCGTGCCAATTATTATTAGCTCATTGTTTTGGGACAGCAATCAAAATTTAGGATCCTATTCCTCGTTCAAGGCCCTCCAACCTTGTACCACCCTTTTATCTGTGAGTTGACTCACCGCATAATCTAAATGAAATCATTCTTGAGAAGTTGCCAGAGCATGAATTCAAGTTCAAAAGGAACTTGATCTACATAAATTAGAAGTGCATTGGGAACTCAAACTTGGGATGTCTTGATGGAAAAATCACTGGGAACACCTCTTTCTTAAAATTAGTTCTAATGGAACTGACTTATAATGCATGCTCTAGTTAGAATTTTCCAAAACTTGAAATTCTGATAATCCCATTTTCTATCCGTCTTACACCAGCCTTTCTGGCTCCCTTTGGTGAGAGATCTAATTTTACATGGAGAGTAGGAGTTAAGGTGAGCAATGATGGACTTATGACTAATAAAGGTTAGTGTAGGAATATCAGTTACCTGTATGAGTATCCTCTCCGCTCCTTCACCCTTACCTGCTGATTCATCAACTCATTACTCCTACAGAAAATGCAGCTTGAACGTCATCCTCTCTACCAGCAGAGATCTGTAGAATTATCATGATATAGATCTCTTATGATTGCTTAGGATCTTGTTTCAAGTATTATTCATCCTTTATTAACCACTTTTTGGTTGGGTAGTTGGTATTTCATTTCTGTATAAAAGGTTGTGAGTTCGAATCCGGTTATGTATTCTCATGTCTTATCTTTAAAAAGCTTTGTTATGATTAATATGAATTTATCACTCAACAAATGAAGTACTTATTTTCACTGAAAAAATAATAGTATTGATCCTTTACTTTATAAAACTGCCAACTAGAAAAGCATGAAAGGAACTCTCTCTTATGCTTGCTGTTCCATTATCTCAAGTGCTAATACCTGTGAAATCTAAAAGGTTTGATTTGAAGTAGGTAAATAAGATTACTTAAGTTGGCAGGGATTTCTGTCCTAGACAGGAGGCATTGTTTTATAATTTCGAAGTGCATGTAAATATGACTCTTAACATTTTTTTCGCTACTCTCTCCATAATTTCCTCACTGTTTTATTGAATTTGTTCAGGAGGTAGGTGAGCATGGGTCAAGGTCAGACCCACCCTCCTACTGGATTGTTCTCATCCTTTGTTCTACAGATGGTGTTAAAGTATTTCGTCGGTATGCTCTTTTTTCCTCCTCGGAATGGCTTACTATGACTCTCATTTGCATGTTATTGTACCTGTACTTGCGCAGTGAAAATTTATGCTTTTGTTTCTGAAAACAGAAAATGTCTTATACTATTAAACTATAGAATGACAAGGAGGATTTTCATTGTATGAGCTTTTTTTTTTTTTTTTTTGAATCAATTGTTATACGACGACATACAGTAGCATCTAAACAATGAACGGTTTGTTATTTTTACAGTACTGCTTACCACATAGGATGATATGTTAATACGAATATTCTTTCATGCCGGTATATTGATAAGAATATTCTTCCGTGCTGGCACGGGTAGAAACAAAAATTACTTATTTAAAGTATATCTATTGGTATTTTTTAATTACGTAATAAATATTTTTATTTTTTATATTACTCAAAAAATATTATAACATTGCTTAAATATATAAAAGCAGCAGACAAACAATTACAAGCACGTCATGATAGCACGTCCCTCCAATGCTCCAAAAAGGTAAAAGTGATGTGGGTTGAGTTCGGGGCTCAGCCCAGTTCATACATTTTTTTTTTTTTTTCATAAATACTAAAATATTTCTACGCGATATAATTACGGAGTATTTTGCAAGATTTTAATTCTAAACGCAAAAGGTTAATTTGCAATCAAATTTGTTTTGTATTTAAGGCAGATTTGTTAATTACCAAATTAAAAAAAGTATACTGTATATTTACAATTAAAATTTAAAAATACATCACATAATCAGATTGAATTTGAACTCTTTTTTAATTTAATTGAGAATTAATTTGACCCATCTCACTTTTAAAAAAAAAAAATCGAAGCGAGTTATAGAGGATGTGTTCAAATTCACCTGTCGCAAATTGTTTCCTTTTCCACCTTTTAGCTGAGTTTGGTACGTATTTCTTATTCTTGATGCAAACACGAGCTTTGAAACAACTACAAAATTCGTTCGTCAAATCAATTTTTTCTTGGGGGATTGAATGCTAAGTCGTCTCTAGGGTCATATCAGACTTGGCGCTTTAAAATAAAAAAGTATGCCTCTTTATCAAAGTTATTTCTTATGTTACATAATATATATATATATAAGTTTGTGGTGGTGAACTGGATACCAAGTCAAAATTGATAAAGATACCTCCTCATTATGTTTTTTTACGACGAAAAGTAGTTTACTTTGTCCCTTGCATAATTTTAAAAGAAAATTTCCACACAAGGGCATCTTTTAAATGGGTGTAAATCTCAAATTTGAAACTACTTATGTCATTATCATCTATTGCATAATTTCACTTCTTTTTTCTTTTAAAAAATGCATGTGAGGATCAAGCAAATTAGTTTAACTTATATAATTCAAACATATATATATATATATTAAATTAGTGATAGGGATTATAATATCTTAAAGAATTTGTGTAAATATATGTAATAACATATAAAGAATATAAGTACCCTGTTATGGTAATAATAACAATATAAATTTATAATTTTTTAAATTAATTTGTGCATCAATTAATTAAATAATATAAATACATTAATCATAATGTAAGATAAATAAAATTTAAATAATAACACACACAAGTTGTACACCAATTCAAAAAGTTGTGTTTTTTATTCGTATTAATTAGTTATGTAAAAAGTTATTTTGTTAATTTAAGTAATGATATTTTATTAATTTATTAGATTTTAATCTTCATGTAATTAATTAATAATACTAATTTTCTATTTTTTTTTCCAATAAAATATATGACTCGCTTAATTGTTTATTAAGCCTATAAATGATTTATGCCGAATCATATTTCAAATTAGAATTTCAATAGTAAATTTTATTCATTAAAAATATTTAATTCAAATGATATAATTAGTAAAAATAGATAAATTATTAGCATAAATAAAACATTATATAATAATAAAATTAATATGTAACACTCCGAGTCCAAGAATTGTGATCGCAATGTTAAATTTTAATATTTTTTTTAATAATAAAAATAGAGAAGCTTTAATTTTCATTTATGTTTATTTATTTTTTTTTTGAAATATGTATTTTGAACGTTTTTAAAACAATTTTCATAAGTTATGATCACATTATAAATAAGGAGAGAATATGTTTAAAAAAATCCGAAAAAATAAAGGTCAAATCGCAAAAATGAGAAGTGCGGACCACGTAGGACGATCACGTCAACAACACTACGAGTCAAAACACGACGCGTGGCAAACACGCTGGCAAGAGCTCCATGCGGGAGCTATGTGGGTGATCCACGTGCTAGGGGGATCCAATGACCCATGTTCACTCCTGTATGCACAAACGGTACAAATTGATTTTCTAGATAAACACGATGGGACGGCCCACGCATCTTCGGTCTAACGGCCCAGATCTATTTGCTTAATAAACGCGATCGAACGACTTAAGAGGATCCACGCAGGCCCGGATGGATAGCCCAAATCGAAGGAGGGGATATTTAAGCATGTCTTCTGTAATAACTGAGAAAGAGAGATATAGTGAAATGGAGAGTGTAGAATATATTAATGAAAAGGAAATGGACGGCTAGGATTCATGCAGATGGGGAGAGGGCATAGACGGCCAGGATGTGTGGTAGGTGGAGTATAAAAAAGGAAGGAAAATAAGAAAAAAAGGGAGAGAGGGAGAAGGAAAAGAAAAAAAAAAGAAAAAAAGGAAAGAAAAACATAAGAAAGAAAAAGGGAGAATGGGAAAAGGGAAGAAGGAAGTTGGCGATGGAAGATTCGAGAGAGATGGAAGCCGGAGAAGAAAGGAACGAGAAGAGCGAGGGGGAGAAGGAGGAAAGCGATGGTTCAAGCTACGAAAGTGTAACGCCCGGAAATTTGAAAAAAAAAATTTATTATTTTATTATTAATTATTTTTATCAGGTTAAAAAAAAAAGAGAACACCACGTCAGCCGACCCAATCAGCAGTCCTGGCCAACCAGGACCTGCCACGTGGCAAAACCACGTCGACCGGGGACGGGCCACGTTGGCGATCCGGGTACGCGCGATCGGACGGCCCAGATCAAGCGGGCGCACGGACGGTCCAGATTAAATCAAAATGGACGGCTGAGATCAAAAGGCAAAAGGGTATAAATAGAACCCTCACACCTGACCACAAAAACCCTAGCCGCCTGCCCTCGCCGGAGAAGACGAACCAGACGCCGGAGAAGCCGGCCGCCGCCACCCGCCGCCGCACCGGGGAGATTTCCGACCGCCGATCGAGGTAAATTTCATACCCCTGACTCGTTTTTCCACGCTGATTTCTCCTGTGGCCAAATCGGAGCCAAAATCCCGGCCAAACGGTCGGAAAACACGGCCGAAACCCAACGGCGCCGCCGCGCCCCTCCTCGATTTTTGCCTCCGATGAGGCCCTTCCCGACCTCCGTTTGATGCAATTTTTATATCACCGTGATCACCATTCTTTTCTCTACAGGTTGATCAGAGCCGAATCACCAAAACACAAACCTCACCGGAGAGCCGCCGCACCCGAGAGCACCGCCGCCGGTAAGCTTCGGTTTTTTTTGGCCCCCCGAGGGCCCTAGGGTTATTTTATCGCAAGGACCGATGCAAGTGTGGCCGAATTTGGCCGTAAACGGCCAAAAACGGCCAAACCGAGGTGAATCGCTGCCGCAAGCGGCGACGCCGTCGCTGGAGCACGGCGGAGCCGCCGTGCTGGAATTGCGACATTGACCAAAAAGGGGCCCTGGGCCTAATATGGGATTTTTTGGAACACGTGCAGGTACCAGTAGTGCGTTTCAGTTCCCCGAAAAAAATTCAGAGAAAATTAGGGACAGCCTGTATGCGCACTGTAAAGCCGTGTTCGGACCCCGAAACGAGGAAGAACCCCTCACCCTATTTCCTATCACGGTATTAAAGTTCAATAATGATAAAATGGTATTTCTTGAATCAATGAATGTGTGAAATTGCTTAAGGTCGTTAATGGAGTCCGAGTCTAGTGTGTTTGTCGGTTAACTGTTATTTGGCCTATTTTACAGTTTTAAATGCAGTATGAGGTCTGATGTTTTTATTTCATAGTTTCGTGTGTATATTTTACTGTTTTATTGATTATGGGTTGAATGACTGAGAAACCGATGCTGTATGTTGTCTTGTTTGGCATAAATTACTGTTTTGCTTGTTTGTGTGTGAATTGATGATGCTGACTGAAGAAAAGGGGAATGAAAGGTTATATAAATTGATAATTGTATAATGTGATCAGCCTGACTAGATATCCTGGGAGATGGTGGACGGACCGGGTCCGTAGGGAACCCTACCGGGATTTTGGTCCCTCATACCGGACGGGGTATTGAGGTTTATAGTTTTGGCGCCCATATCGGACGGGGTATGGGGACGGCCCGTTTCACCCTCATACCGGACGGGGTATTGAGGTTTATAGTTTTGGCGCCCATACCGGACGGGGTATGTGGACGACCCTGGAATCTGATTACAAGTGTTAAGGGTTCACGGGTAGCGGGACCCCTATGGATCCTCATGGATACTAGTAGGCTGGTAAAAGAGGAAAAATAGGTTGTGTAATGATTGAATTACAAAAGGCATGATAAGTATTATGTTATACAGTTTATATGATTTCATGATGATGATAATGTTATTGCTTTCGTATATTGTTTTATAAATTTCACCGAGGTAAGTGGATGGTAAATGTTTTATTATTGATAAAAGGATTTGTTGTAAATTATACTCCATTGGTCTTTTTGTGTTTTCTACCCACCTTTACCTCCGTGACGGTGATATATCGTGATGTCTTTACTGGGCTAGTGTAGCTCATTCCTTATTTAATCATTTCAGATCCGGAAGACATTGTTCCCGAGCCCGTTCCGCAGGAGGACGACGAAGGGGATGCCTAAAGACTCCATAGTCATATTCGTAGCTTTTACTTTCGAGTTTCTCCTTTAGTTAGTTTGATCTTTTATATTTTGTGAGCACGTTTTTGGTTTTAGTGTAAGGGATGTTAATCGAAATTTTTTTTTGACTTCGCTTCCGCATTTGATATTTTTAATACACATTTCATTTTAAATTTCCAGGGCCGTTACAAAAAGTATGAAAAAATGGAGACCGAAGGTATAGTGAATTAAATATTGAATATAGGATGATGAAATATGAATTTGTTTTTGTAAATAATGAAAGAAGAAAT